AGCCGAGCTCCATCCTCTTTGGAACCCCCCTTCAGGTAGTTGAAGGCTGCTATCAAATGCCCCCTCATTCTTCTTTTCTGCAGACTAATTAACGCCCCGTCCGTGTCTCCTATACTCGGATCAGGTTTCGGCATGGCAACGTCCGAGCAGTTCCCCTGTAATCTTTGCTCCTTGGGCGGTCCCTTGATTTGCCAGAAGCAAGATGTAGGTTCTGTTCAGGTTTGCCGGACGTGAGCTGCAGGCCAGGAAACCAGTCTGAGCCAATGTGATTTGCGCTTGACGGTTTCTCGTCGTTTGGGGCGGTATTGGGTCTGGTCAGCCCGGATGACTCTGTAGCCTAGAAAGATAACTCTGAAAGCAGCTCAGGAAAAGGGAGAGGGGGGCATTCCTTTTCTCCCTGTCCGAAACAAGGGGTGTATAAATATGAGTTTGTATGCAGGCTCTGTGCAGTGCAGTGTCTACTGCAGCCCCCCACACTGGGGTGTCCCCAGGGGCCAGCTCCAGCGAAGCGGAGAAGGATACAGGGGGCAAATCCTCCCAGTCTGTGGTTTGCTCTCAGAGACTAGAGACGGCAGGATTCCTGGCCAGCTTTCCCTGGGAGCTGCTGCTGAGGGGAAGTTTATCCCTTGTGCACACAGTGCTGGGGATGTTCGGCTTGAGACCCTGCCTGGGATTAGCCTCCGCGCTTTCTGTCAAGCCTCACGGCATCTTCACTCCCCCCCTAGGAAAGCCAACCAAGGCCGAGCAAACATCACGTCTGAAGTACATCCCCGCCCCCGGTATCCACCGCCCACCCCGACTCCCCTGGGCTGGAACCCCTTTGGCCATGCAGCTCTGAAGCGACCGAGCCACTGTTGGCTGGCAGTCCTACAGCTGGACGAAGAAAGGGGTCGTCCCCTCTCCGTACAACTGAGGAACCAGCCTCTCCCTCCCCTGGCCCGTGCGCTGAGTTGATGGGTCAGAACCAGGCACCAGCCCCTGGCTCAGTTCACCGAACTCTGGCTTGGTTTCCGAGCCCTGCTGGTCAAACTGACCGTACCTGCACCGGGCAGCAGCAGGAGGGGCAAGAGGCCCTGGGGCAATTGGAGAGCAGCTGAGAAGGGCCGGTAGGGGAGTTGGCTGGGATTTTACCCACTTCCCCCCACCCACAGGCATATGCAGGCAGTGGGGAGACAGGAGCCCTCCACATCTCATGCCAAGAGTTGAGCGGCTGGAGATCCAGACAAAGGTCATCCCAGAAAGGCCCACCACCTCCTGAGCAAAAGGGAGAGCGTCTGCCTCGCGACTGCGGTCCCTGTCCGTGACATCCATCCCCAAGCACTGGGAAGCTGGAGGAGTGAGGGGGGCAGGATGCCCAGCCGCGTCTCCAAACGGTTGAAAGCTTTTCCTGTTCAACTCCATTTCCCAAAGCTGCAGCTCCCAGATTCTGACAGACTCCCCCTCCACTGTCACTTTTTTCAGCCCACCGGAGACTTCTCCAAAGTTGGAGAAGTAGTGAAACACTGGAGAGCGGGAAACACCAAACAAAATACTCCACACTCAAATCCCAGTCATGACAGCTTTTTTTGGATGCAATTACAAGTTTGGTTGATGAAGGTACTAATGTGGAGGTAACATACTTAGACTACTACTGTGAGGTATCTGGCTTGGTACTGCACGACATTTTGATTCCAAAACTAGAACAATGTAAAATTAACATGGCACACATGACATGGATAAAAAACTGGCTAAGTGAGAGGTCTCAAAACGTAATTGTAAACGGGGAATCAGCATCAAACGGGGGTCCCACAAGGTTCGGTTCTTGGCCCTACGCTATTGAAAATTTTTATTAATGGCCTGGAAGAGAACAAAATCATCGCTGATGAAGTTTGCGGCTGACATGAAAATTGGGAACATGGCAAATAACGAAGAGGACAAGTCACTGACACAGAGCGATCTGGATCACTTGGAAAGCTGGACGCAAGCAAACAATATGCACTGTCATATGGCTAAAGGTAAAGGTGTACATCTAGGAACAAAGACTGTAGGCCATATTTACAGGATAGGTGACTGTATCCTGGGAAGCAGGGACCCTGAAAAAGGTTTGGGGGTATGGTGGATAATCAGCAGAACATGAGCACCCCATGCGATGCTGTGACCAAAAGGGCTAATGTGATACTGGGCTGCATAAACAGGGGAATCTCGAGTAGTAGAAGAATGGTTATTTAACCTCGGTGTTTGATGCTGGTGTGATGGCTGCTGGAATCCGGTGTCCAATTCTGGTGCCCACAATTCAGGAAGGATGGTGATAAATTGGAGAGGGGCCGGAAAAGAGCCACAAGAATGATGAAAGGATTAGAAAACCTGCCTTATAGCAAGAGACTCAAGGAGCTCTGTCTACTTAACTGAACAAAGGGAAGGTGAAGGAGGGACTTGATCCCAGTCTGTCAGTACCTATATAGGGAACAAATCGTTAATACTGGGCTCTTCAGTCTAGCCGAGGACGGTCTAACACGATCCAAATGGCTGAAAGTTGAAGATAGACAAATTTGGACTGGAAATAAGGTGTAAACTTTTGACACTGAGGGTAATTCACCACTGGAAAATTTACCAAGGGGTCATGGTAGATTCTCCATAATTACATTTTCAAATGAAGATGCTGGATTTTTAAATGATCTGCTCTAGGAATGACTGTGGGGCAGGTCTCTGGCCTGTGCTCTACAGGAGGTCAGACCAGATGATCACACTGGTCCCTTCTGGCCTTCGACACTAAAAGGAACAACAAACATCCACATTTCTGAAAACATCATGCTTTGCAAAAACCAAACGGCAAGAAAAAACCCCGATTCAGAGCCAAGTCAGATTTCCTGGCAAACTTTTTCTGCTACCAATTTCAAAGGAAACATCGTTTGTTCGAAATTTTTTGTAGGAAAATTTGGAAATGAAAGTTGGATTCGAATCAGGATTTGGGGGCTTTTTTGACCCACTCTAGAGGGGAGGATAAAGGAAGCTCCCGTTCCCCGATCCCAAAATATCATCCTCTTGTCACTGCCAGGAACAACCAGGCTGCGTAGGAAATACTGACGGCCAGGCAGCTCTGACAGCTCGGGGATGTGATGCAGACAGTGCCAGGAGTACACTGACACAGGGGGAAAGCAAGGGGCTGGGACCTGCCAGGACAGTCCCCTCTAGGGCCAGGAGCTTCAAAAGAGCCAGAGATCAGAGGGCAGCTGCTGGCCTCTTCCAGACCTGGTTTGTGTCCTACAGCTGGCTCCTACAGGACCAGTTCTGGCATTAGGAAGCATAGCTACGGGTATATTACCTACCACAATGGCACTTCCAATAGAATGCCCCTAGGAGCCCCGCAGAGGGGTAGATCGTGCTATTTACAAAGGCTGTCTAGACTCTACATGCATCTTCTCTGTTCTTATGTTGTGTTGTGTTTTGATTGAGTGAGGGGGACTTTAACCCAGGAGTACATGCCCCCCGCCCACACCTCCATGTCAGGGTGCCATTGCTAGGGGTGGGTGGGGATTTATTTTAACATCAAACACAGGATAAAGTATAATACGCTGTGGGGGTGAATTTCATCGCTACTAAACAGTCACGTCCAGAGCATCAGAATGATTTTATTCCGATGTACAGAAAAAAATGAATGGAAGCCCTGTATGTCCAGTGAGGTGTACTGCGGACGGACTGGGTACACAAGGACGGTACACGCACCCATGTGTGGGGGTATCAGAGGGGCGTGAGTACGTATGGCCCCGGTGCACCCAGGCATGATGCTTGTCTGACGAGCTGCAAGGCGACGCACGTCCCGTGGGACGGTGAGCGGGTGAAGGCGTGCACCCGGTGGGCTTTGTACACGTGGGTGTGCACGCTGTGCGGGAACACACACCCTGTGTGTGCGGGGGAGGGGGTGTGGCGATGTGTCTGGCTCACGAACAGCAGCACTAAGGAGAGGTATAGCCTAATCAACGTTAGCCTGAGAGGGCGGGAGGGGTACCGGAATATGTCAAACGCCTCTGTGAAACCAGCCCGAGGACAGCCGGACAGCACAGGGCAGGATTTACTCCCTGGCAGCCCCCTCCTTGTGAGCAGGAGGCGCACCCCGGGGAGGCCAAGGGCTCGGTGTGCTTGGGAGGAGGAAGGCGAGCCCTGGAGCTGGATTTCCGGGTGGAAAGGGGTGGGCTGGGGAGCTCTCCCAGAGCAACAGGGGCAGGGATGCCAGGAGGTCCCTCCGCCGCAAGGAACATCTCTTCATTGGTGTTCGTACAGCAGCCAGTGCCATGGGGCCGCCGGCCTTTGGGCACAACCAGAAGAGAGAGGATCTACTGCTATCCCTAAAGGAACCCGGGCTGCACCACGGCGAGACGCAGCCCCTGGACGGGACGGCCAGAGAAGGGGGTAGATCAGAGGCAAAGCTTTTGGCCCTGTTCGGCAGCTAGATCTGGAGGGACAGGAAAGGGCAGGAGGGGACATGAAACCCTCCCAGCTGCTCTCCTGCGTGAGATTCCCGCCAGCTCCATCCCAGCCTGGGCTCAGCAGGCCCAGCGGCCCCCGGGCCTCCGGCTAGCAGAGAGGCCATTCTCTATCCAGCCTCCTCCTCCCGCCTGTGGTCTCGCCAGCCCTCCCCCCCCCCCAAGCACACGCCAGCCTGCCACCAATCAGGGCAGTCGCTGGCTCCTGACACGCCCCGACATCCACGCACCTGATTGGCCGAGAGAAACGCAACCCTCGACCGCCGTTTGTGCTGATTGGAAGCCGTTTCGACGCCCCCGTCTCGTTTTAATTCCTGAGCCAATCAGAAGAGAAGGGTCAGAGGACTCCCCTCCCCCCCCCCGCAAACCAATCCTAGGAGGAGACCTCCTCGGGAACCTACTGATTGTGTAGACCGAGAGCCCGGCCTGGCAGCAGCACAGAGGGCGGAGGAACAGCAAGGGGACAGAGCACAGCTGGGATGGCTAGCGCGGCGGCTAGGACAGGTGGGAGGCAGGCGGGCGGGGTCAGGGACTGCCCCGCCCCTTCACTTGTTGTTTCCGCTCCTGGGCGCGCGCGCTCTAAAGAACTCGGCACGGAGCCACGTCCCAGCCGCGGCTGCTCCTTCCGTGGTCCTTTGGCCAATGGCCCCGCTCACCGGCCAATCAGGCAGGCCATTTTGCACGCTACCGCCGAGATCAGGGCGGCCCCCCCTGCCGCTGCCCTCCTCTGACTGGAGGAAGGTGATGTCGCAGCCAGGCGTCAGCTGTCTGACGGTCGCGTGGAACTGGTCTTTGAAGCTGGGGAGAGAGGAGGCGGCGGGGTCAGGCAGAACGGTCCGCTGAGCGTACAGAGAGACTGCTGCCGCATCTCCCTGCCCTGCCCTGCCCGACTTCCTGCGTGACCACGAGCAACTTACTTAGCCTCTCTGTGCCTCAGTGCCCCCATCTGTACAATGGGCACAACACTGGAGCATAAATATGGTGATGGGGGTCATCTAAAGATGGATTCAGGCTCTGATGGTGCCCACAGGGGTGAGGTTCCGTTGTGCGGGGTGCTGCCCCGCGGCGCGTCCGATCTAAGGCAGTTTAGACCTCCGGGCCGTAGCCTGGCACAACTCTACAGTTTGCGAACCCGCCCCAAGAGACCCGCAGGCTGTGAAGGCTTTTCAGTTCTGGCAAGTCTTAGCACAGGTCAGAGCCAAAGTGCTCCCGGAAAGGCAGCGAAGAAAAGACAGTTCTCGGGCGGACCCCTGCCCGGCCCGACCCGCTGGCTTGCTGAGGAGTGTCTGCCAGCTGATGGATCCCCCCGGCCGTGCCCTCTCAAGGCATTCCAGCTCCTTTCCAGTCTGTTCCTTTTTCAGATGCTGCTCTTTTAAGCTTCCCAGTTTACTCCCTTCTCCACTCCCCCCTCCCCTCCCTCTCCCCCCACCATCTAGAGGTCCCAGATCTCGGTGGCCCTTCTATGGCCCAGGAAGCTGAAGTCCAACCCCCACCAGCACCTGTAAAGCTGGCCAGAGAGGGCCTCGGCAGCATGCAATCGCTGCCGGACTGGAAGCCAGCTTCCCCAGGGCCAGCCCTCAGCGCTGTCTCTCGCAGCCGCTCATTGCTAAGGCACTCACAGTGCAGCCATTGCCCGGATAAGGGCGAGCGCTCCCTAGTGGCCCCGCAGAGACAGGCCACCCACACGCTCCTGTCTGTCAATCATTCCATCTGATGCAGCTTTCCAGGGAGGCCGTGACGGGGCTGGGGAGGCGGCTGCCCGGGCACTTCCCTGCGTGCGACCTCACCTGGGGTGGAGCTTGTAGACCGAGCCATCGACTCCCACGGTGATCTTCAGCCGCTCCTCGCTCCTGCTTTCCCGCATGCGGTTGATCACGCCGGCCAGCCCCGCCGAGCACATCTGCGCCGCCCGCGTGGAGACGCTCTCGCACGCCATCCGCACGATGTCGCAGTCCGTGAGCGAGGGCAGCAGCTCGAAGGACGTCAGGATGTTGTAGGTCTGTTTCCGGTCATCGGCGTCGCTGGGACAGAGAGCGAAAGCATGTCAGCCTCCGGACGCTAGGGCGTGCCGAACGTGGGGGGCAGGCCCGGTGCTGCTGGGGCAGCTGGACAAAGCCAGCGGATGGGTGCAGACAGCTAGCAGGCTCCTAAGGCCTGGTCGGTAGCTGGGTGGAAGTTGGCTTTGCTGACTCAGGAGAGGACACGCGTTTACCCCTCTGGAAAGCGTTCTGCTGGTTTGCAGTGCAGCTCCTCACCAGAAGTGGCTGCATTTCAGACTGCTCATACTCCTGGGAAGAGAGCAGCAGGACAGCTGCTTGTAACAGCAATACGTGCAGTTACCTGAGATAGGGTGCAACACAGATATGGGGGCAGGGGTCCGGCTACCCCGGAATTGCCCTCTGGGGGGGCTTCTTGTTCCACCCAGCCCCTGTAACAGATGGTGCTGGCCAATGTGAGGTACAGGAGACAGGGCAAGAGGGCCCTTGGGCTGAGCCAGCCTGGCAGTGTCTATGTTCCTACCTCACTCTCAGCTCTACGGTACCGCCTGTAAACCCGCTTTTCCAACGCCTGTGAGACTCCAGCCTCCTTCCCAATCTCCTCCAGGTGCCTCCAGCCCCTCCCACCAGATGATGTCTGGTCTCGAAGGTCTGCGAGCAGGTGTCTCTGCCCATCCCTACAAACACAGCCCATGCTTCCAGGAGCCCGCATGGCTCCGTGTTGGTAAGGCCCACAGGAATGATCTGAGGTCTGGAAAACCTGCCACACAGCGTGAGACTTACGAAGCTCCCTTTGTTTGGTAGAAGGCTAAGAGGTGACTTGGTCACCACCTGCTAGAGATCTCTGATTCTACATGGCTCTTTAATCTTGCCGTAAACAGCAGAAGGAGATCCAACGGTGGGAAGATGAAGCTAGGCAAATTCAGATTAAAACTAAGGTGCATTTGTTTAGGGTAGTTAACCACTGGAAGAATTTACCGAGGGGCGTGGCGGGTTCTCCATTGCTCGGAGTCTTTCAGTCTTTCTCAGAGACCCACTGTAGCTAAGAGAGGAGTTCTGGGCTAGACGCAGGAATCTCTGGTTGAGGTTCTCTGGCCTGGGTTCCGCCGGAGATGGGACGAGATGATCAGAAATCCCCAGCTGCCAGAAAGGCCCCTTGCGCCGTAGGCTACCAGGCCTAACTTGGTGCATTTTAGAGGGTTAGCTTTAGAGCAGCTCTAAGTCCCGTGATCTTAGAGCTGCAAAGGGAGGGCAGTGGGGCCAGGCCCGAGAAGCTGGGCTCAAGAGGCCAGGTGCAGAGAAAAACAGCCACAAATAGCAGGCAAGGAAAAGTGAGCTAGGCCGCCCCCTCTTCTACGTGACACTGGCGCAGCTGTGTGGGAGCTGTGAGCACCCTTAGTAAAGAGCGTTCACTGAGTGGAACCATTCCTGCGGCTCCCGCAATCTTGGGGCCGATTCCTCAGTTCAAGTGCTAACAATCCCCCGCAATTTTTTCAGCCAAATTGCTCAAAGGAGGTCAGTGTCGTTACAGATGGGGAAACTGAGGCATAGAGCGGGCAAGTGACTTGCCCAAAGTCACCCAGCAAAGCCGGGGATAGAACCCAAGTCTCCTGAGCCCCAGTGCAGTGCTCAAGCCAGTACACTGCAAGGTGTGAGGGTACCTGCCGCAGCTGTGTGCGAGTCCCTGTCAGAGGGGGAGCTGACATACACCCCTTGCACATCAGCTCGGAGCCCAGTGGGGAACGGTTGTTGCTCTCTCTAGTCATACATATTGCAGCTCAGTGGCCGCTGGGGGCCGCGGGAGTCCAGCTGTGCTCTGGGGCTGTAGGATGGGATTACAGCTGGGGCAGGGGATGGGAGAGCGGGGGACGGTTTTAGGAGCCCCTGAGTTGCAGTGGGTGGGGCTGGCTGAGCATTGGGCGGTTGGGGAGGCCACCCCGTACCTTTCGATCTGTGAGACGAAGCGGGTTTCGAAACTGCCTCTGGTTTTCAGTTTCTCAGACGCCTCCCCGTGGAAGAGCAGATTTTCATTGACCAGTTTGAGCAGCACCAGCCGCACGATCTCTCCTATGTACTTGCCTCCGATCATCTTCTCGTAGCTGGGTGGGAACAGAAGAGCACCACTGGTAAGGGCCGCGAGGACACAGACCCTCTGCCCGCTCTCGGTCGGACCCTGCTCTCCTGCAACAGGGGGTATCCTAGGCCTGGAGACCTGTTTAAACACAACCCCGGATGAGCAAGGCTGCTGCTGGCTTTCCCCTTCCTCCTGAGAGGGCAGAGGCCGTGCTCGGCTTCTCCTCCCCTTGGGTTCTGCCAAGGGGACATGTCCCTACTCCCAGTGTCCGTGGGGACGGGCCTTGTGCAGACGCTCAAGCAGGAGAGAAACACCTTGGCTGGCAGTGAGCAGAGCCAAAGCCAAGTATCCTTAAAAAATACCCCTAGGCTCTAGTGCAAGAATGCAGATTTCCCGGCACGGCCCATTGGCTCAGGGAACCCTGCCTGGTGGGTGTTGCAGTCCTCGAGGGCTGCCATGTACCGTGTGGTCCATGCGGCCAAGAGCCTGTGCGGGAGGGAGAGTCAATCCTGGAGGCCAGGGGCTTGCTCCCCGAACTGCCACACCGCAGCAGGGCCATCCCAGGTGTGTGCCGCTGGCCTTGGCAGGATGCAGCTCTCACTCTGGCCACGCAGATGTGAGCAATTCCTGCTGCCTGCAGTGCCCAGCAAATGCAACGGCCGGTTCCGGGGCCTGCAGGGGGGTGGGGGAGTTACGGGCAGGCCGTGCAGAAGGAACTGGAACCAGACGCCAACCACCTGGGCCCCGCCGGAGAACCTGGGCCAGGGTTTCCATCGCCCCCTCAGTAGTGTGATAGGTGAAGGAGATCAGGACAGTTACATACCAAATACGCTGACTGGCTCAAAATCTGCGCTGTGTTAGAGCCTCATCCGATGCTCTGGGGCGGGGGAGAAGGTGGCTTTGAGCCCCCATGATCCCTGGCTCTGTTGGGGGCCCAGCTCACTCCCCACCTCAACTCAGAGCCACCTCCGGACTGCTCTAACTTGTGCCGGCTTGTATCAGGCCCCGAGGGACCATTACACCGCAGGGGAGCCCTGGAGTGTAGCATCCTCCAGTCATACCCTCCTCCATCCATCGTATCCACTGAGCTCAGGGGGGCCAAGCGAGGGGGCACAGAGCCAGCGATTCATCCTCTGCAAATGTCTTTACGGCCTCTTTGCCCCATAGCATGGGCTAGGATCGGGCCCACTCTGATCCTGCAGCTACGGAGATGCTTAACTCAAATGGATAAGCAATTGATCGCTTATTCAGATGGCCACGCCCCTCGGGCAGCAGCTGTCGGCTAATTCCCCAGCCCTGCCCTGGCACTTTTATTTCAGGCCTTGGTAGGTTTTGCGCTCTTCAGCTCTTAAGGCCAAGTGGCGGGTGCCCTTTCCCACCACCGGCAGGGCACTGTAGAACCGAAGGGATGGAAGACGCCCCGGGGAAGCAAAGCTGAAGCCTCGGGGACCTCCTCTGTCCGTTCAAGGTGAGTGGGACGCTGGGCTGGGGACAGCCCGAGAGAGTGAAGGGGAAGGGAAAGGAGAGAAGTGAGGAAAAGCACAAGAGAGAAACGTGTCGGGGTGTGAGTGTCGATTGCTCTGTGTATTGGTGTGTGGATACGGGAGTGTGTTTGTGGGCATCTGGGGGCGTGAGCGTAGATTGCTCTGGGTGTGTTTGTGTATTGGTGTGTGGATTCGGAAGTGTGTTTGTGAGGGCACCAGGGTGCGGGAATGCAGACTGCTCTCGGTGTGTGTGTTGGTGTTTTAGTGTGTGTATAGGGGAGTGTGTATCCAGGTGTGTGAGTGTAGATTGCAGGGGTGTGTGTGTGTGTAAAGGTATCTGTGTCCTGGGGTGAGTGTACTGGGTGTGCACATGGCTGGGAGTGGATGGTTGTGTACAGGGGGTGTACGCAGGTGTGTGTGAGCGTAGAGTGCGGGGGTGTGTGTGTAAAGGTATCTGTGTCCTGGGGTGAGTGTGCACGTGGCTGGGAGTGGATGGTTGTGTACAGGGGTGTACGCAGGTGTGTGTGAGCGTAGAGTGCGGGGGTGTGTGTGTAAAGGTATCTGTGTCCTGGGGTGAGTGTGCACGTGGCTGGGAGTGGATGGTTGTGTACAGGGGGTGTACGCAGGTGTGTGTGAGCGTAGAGTGCGGGGGTGTGTGTGTAAAGGTATCTGTGTCCTGGGGTGAGTGTGCACGTGGCTGGGAGTGGATGGTTGTGTACAGGGGGTGTACACAGGTGTGTGTGAGCGTAGAGTGCGGGGGTGTGTGTGTAAAGGTATCTGTGTCCTGGGGTGAGTGTGCACGTGGCTGGGAGTGGATGGTTGTGTACAGGGGGTGTACGCAGGTGTGTGTGAGTGTAGAGTGTGGGTGTGTGTGTGTAAAGGTATCTGTGTCCTGGGGTGAGTGTGCACGTGGCTGGGAGTGGATGGTTGTGTACAGGGGGTGTACACAGGTGTGTGTGAGCGTAGAGTGTCGGGGTGTGTGTGTAAAGGTATCTGTGTCCTGGGGTGAGTGTGCACGTGGCTGGGAGTGGATGGTTGTGTACAGGGGGTGTACACAGGTGTGTGTGAGCGTAGAGTGCGGGTGTGTGTGTGTGTAAAGGTATCTGTGTCCTGGGGTGAGTGTGCACGTGGCTGGGAGTGGATGGTTGTGTACAGGGGTGTACACAGGTGTGTGTGAGCGTAGAGTGCGGGGGTGTGTGTGTAAAGGTATCTGTGTCCTGGGGTGAGTGTGCACGTGGCTGGGAGTGGATGGCTGTGTATGGAGGTGTGTGTGAGGCGTGTGTGCACATTTGTGTTTCTGAAGGGAGACGCGTGGGTGGGTAAGCGGACATGGGTGCAGTTATGGGTGTGTGAGGGTGTGTGTCCATTTGAGAGCGTGTGTGTGTCTGTGTGGGGGGGGTGTTTACACGTGCTGGTATATTTGAGGTGTGTCTGTGGGTCTGCGAGTATGTGTTTAGACACACTTGAGGGTATGTGAGAGAGAGAGAGCGAGCCGGAGGTCGGGCCGGTGAGCGGAAATTGCTCTCACTGGTTTTAACACTGCCGACACTGATTGTTCAGTTAGTGAGGGTATTTTCTGAGCTGCAAGAAAACATCCATTTTTCCTCTTTGCTGGGCTCTGCACATTTCAAACACCTCCAGCATATCAGCCTCCTGCTCCCCTGCTACTGCACCTCAGTGACCAGGTGAGCGCGCCTGGGCAGCACCCACACTGGGACCTCCGAGAGAGGGCCATTCGGGGAGAGCCCCACAGACCCACTTCTTGGCCCCTAGGCCCACACTGTCACCAAGGGCCGACTTGCCTGCCAGGGAATTTAAAGCTGCACTCTCAGAACCAGAGCTGAGCAAACCACGTTGGAGATGAACTGCGCCCACCCTCCGCTGAATTAGGAGCCGCGGCCGGCAGAGTCCGGCTCTGCGGCCTGGGCGACAGCAGGGAGGAAGTGAGGCCCAGGGAAAGCAATAATTTTATCTGTCGTGTCCCTTACAGCTGGTGCCCGGGGTTAAGTGAGGTCTCGTCCACCACGCGATCGTACTCCAGGAGGAACTCGTCCAGCTCCCCCGAGGCGCCGAAGGCCCCCCACTCGGTGTTCACGCACATCCGGCCCTCGTCCCCCTCCACCAGCTCCACATTCTCCATCTCCTCCATGTAGCAAGCGTTGCAGCCGGTACCTGGCAGGGGACACCAAGCCGGGGATTAGTCTCACGATGGCGAGTCCCAGGCAAAGCGCCCTGTGACAGCTGGCGATGCGGGCTTTTCGGCAGAGAGGGCCCTGCGCTTTACTCACTGCCCGAGCAGCCAGCTGACTTTGAGTCTGTGCGGGTATCCGGTTTACAAGGGGCAGGGGCACGGGTTTAACACAGGCTGTACTGTCCGTGTGCCCCCGATACAATTTCACGCCCCGTCCTTACAGCCTGTTTCATAGCGTTTAAAGCCAGAAGGGAGCGCTAGTCTGAGCTCCTGCTTGGCACAGGCCATTATATTTCAGCCGATACCCGTCGCTGAGCCCAATGAGGCCAGTTAGGCTAAAGGGTTTCGGTCCTCAGGAGGCTGAAGTATTGCAGCCACAGACAGAGAACAGGAGAGACTGAGGTGCTACCAATGGCTGAGGTCCCTGCCAGGGCAGGGAATGGATTAGGTGAGACATGCCCAGATGATGCCAGCAGACCACCCATGCCCCACGCTGTGGAAGAAGGCGAAAGCCCTGCAAGGTCCATACTCCTCCTTTCACCCACTCTCAGCGACCCAGCTCTGAAATAGCCTGGCCGATGCAGAGCTCTCCAAGCCCTGGGTCAGATCCACAGCCGGGGGCGATCAGTAGATCTCTGCCAATTAAGCCCAGCTGAGGATCTGCCCCACTGGTCAGTTGGTTATCGCTCCTTGAGGGATTACGGTGTCACCTTTTTCTCCTGGAGCAACCGGGATCTGGGGTGTCTCTTGTATTATTACTTGTCTGACCATAGCGCCTACGAGCCCCCGTCATGGACCAGGCTTCCCTGGTGCGAAGTGCTGCGTCCAAACACAACAAAAGACTGTCCCTGCCCTGAGAGAGAACAAATGGGTACAGGCAGACGGGAGAGTACAAGGAAACAGTGGGATAGTATTGATCAGCAGGGGTCTCAGCACAGCAACTGCCTGGCCGATATGTTTTTTGCAGGCAAAGGAGAGTTTTAAGGAGCAGTTTGAAGGGGGATAATGAGGTAGCTTTGGGGATGTTTACGGGGAGCGTGAGGGACAGCAGGGGAGGAAACGCACAGAGGCTCGTTTGCAAATTTAACAAGTGGGCGACGGAGGCTGGGACCATGGTGGTCAACAGCTCAGTGGTGACCCAAAGAAGCAGGGTGGGCAGGACCTTGAAAGTGAAAGTCAAGGGACCACGGTGATCTTTTTCTCGGACTCTGCTCTCTGTAATGGTGGCCCTGCAGAGCTGAGCGGTTATTGGTGTGTCCCCTGGAAGCCGGGCCCTCGGGTTGGGCAGTCTGTTCGTCCTTGTGCACTTCTTCTGGTTGCATTGGTAAGTGACGAACATGGAGCTGCTCTTTCATAATTTAATACTCCTGCATATATTCCCAGCTCAAAACTCAGGAGTCAGGCCTCCAAAAATCATGAGTTTGGCTTAGAAATCACGAGATCTTTAAAAAATAGTAAGTTTGGGTTCGTTTTCCTTGTCTTCTGGGTTCTGAGCTTTTCGAGTTTACCCAGGTCACACTCTGATGCTTTTCTCTGCAACCAGGAAAGCTAAAAATGTATTTTAAAAAAACAACAACAGAAGTGCAGATTCTCATTCTAATCCCGAGACTCCAGGAACTGGGGCTTTGAGAAAAAAACATTAAGTACCACAAGACGCGTGACACAATCACGAGAGCTGGCAACTCTGCTCCGTGGGATGATGATTTCTGTCGGAATATTTTGGATTTAAGTGCTTCTCAATTAAATTAGGGATCTGTCAGGCAGGAGAAAGAAGACGGTTCAAGTTGGTCACCTGTCAGTGGACTTAAGAGTCACTAAGGGACAGTGACAGAAGTATGAGCTGCTGAGTTGACCAAACTGGCTTGACCAGCAATGGAAAACGCCTACTAGTGCTTGAGAGAGACAAGGGGGGTGAGGCAGTGTCTTTTACTGGACCAACTTCTGTTGGTGGAAGAGACAGAGACAAGCTTTCGAGCGTACACAGTGCTCTTCTTCAGGTCTAATGCGGTGTCGTGGATGGGGACCCACGTATGGTATCTTCTCCATCCCTCCACACTGGCTTGATATTGTGGGCAGATCGACTAAGCCCAGCATCGTGTCTGGCTCACCCCGATGGGACCGGGACAGCACTACTGTATGAAGTTCTCTTTCCGTATCTTTTCCTGGGCCTTTTTATCCCGACCCTTTTCACCTTGCAGGGAGACTCATTTGAAAGGGGACATTATTGCAGGCTTCTTGCCCTTCTCCTCCACGTCCATGTGGGGCGGGGGGCAGCGGCTGCCCCAGGCTCCTGCTGCCTCCTGCAGCCCCAGCCTCCCTGGGGCATCCCCAGGGTCAGCCAGGTGCCCCAGGCCTGCAGTGGGAGCGCTCCCCTCACTGGGCTGCCATGGCCAGCCCATGCCCCCAGCAGCCGTACTCCCTCCAAGGGGCACCGCAGCAGGTTCAAGCCTCCTGCAGTACGCAGAACGCTGGCAGCAGGGAACCCACCAGTCTGATAGAGGAACAAGCTGGGAGGGTCTGGAGGGGCTAGATCTGCCTACAGGGCTATCCCTACACTACCTGCTACCACCAGAGCATAAGCAGAGGCAGAACTGGGGTCTTCCCCGAAGCGCAGGGACTCAGGGCCAGAGCTGGGCACACATATAAAGCATATCTGGCTCGGGTTTATGATGGCGCCTTTCATCCTTTAGTGTTCACATCCCACAAACTTTCAAGTAACTGAGCTTCGTTGGCACAAATGTTTGAACTCAGTGGGGCCCCAGCCTCTCTGTGCTCAGCTCCTCGTCTGCACGGTGGGATTACAGTACTTCCTGGCGGCAGGGGGCTGCCGTGAGGATATACACATTAACGATTGCGAGGTGCTCACATACCACAGTGCTGCGGGCCCGATAAGCATGTTAGATAGCAAGCTGCTCGCATGAATATTCTTGGAAACCAAGTGTTAAATTCAAGCACACAAATCGTCATCTTCGAAGTGCCTGCACCCTCCTCTAACAATGAGCGGAAACCAGACTGCGTAACTTACCTGATCTATCACAACTAAGTCACACCGCTTGAATTTAAATATCTCGGACGAGGGTGAACTCATTGACTAAACGACCGCAAAAAGATCAGCAACACATTCTGCTGGCAAATGAACTCAGAAAGCTGCAGTCAGCCGACAAGATCTCCAGCAGAAAGAGGCAACATTTGTCAAATAAGTTCTTGGATACAGATGATTCACGTGGTTCTCTACGTGTGAGACATACTTGAGCCAGTCTGACAAGCCAGCCGCTAGAGGGCATAGCTACCACTTACCGCTCCTCCAAATCATTGTACCATAGTGTTGACCTTTGAGGAAAAGAAACGATAGAAACCGAATCCTTGTCCACATGAGAAAATACTGCCTACAGGTCTATAAGCAAGTCCCCCACTAGGTCACAGGTAAGAGTGCAGGAAATCCCACCTGGAGGCAGTGACATGGCAGCACTGGCCAATCCATATTGATTCCTGTATCTGGCACTGGTGTGACCGCTCCTAGAATACGGTGTCCAGTTCTGGTGACCACAATTCAAGAAGCATGTTGATAAATTGGAGAAGGGTCAGAGAAGAGCCACGAGAATGACTGAAGGATTAGAAAACCTGCCTTTTAGGGAGAGACTCAAAAAGCTCAATCTATTTAGCCTAACAAAAAGAGGGTTAAGAGGTGACTTGATCCCAGTCTGTCAGTGCCTACATGGGGAACAAGTATTTAATACTGGGCTCTGCAATCTAGCAGAGAAAGGTCTAATACCATCCAATGGCTGAGAGTTGAAGCTAGACAAATTCAGACTGGAAATAGGGTACAAATGAGTGAGGGTCATTAGCCATCAGAACAACTTCCCAAGGGACGTGGTGGAGTCTCCATCACTGGCAAGTTTTAAATCAGGATGGGATGTTTCTGTAAAAGATCTGTCCTAGTTCAAATGGGAATTATTGTGGGAAATCCCATGGCCTGCGGTCTACGCCTGGGGTCTACAGGAGGTCAGACTAGCTGATCACAGGGGTCCATTCTGGCTTTGGAATCTATAAATCCATGGCCTGCCCTGGTGATGCCAGCAGTGACAATACCCTGTTGGGGGAGCCCGCGGCCCTCACCCACCGGGGAGGTCTGTGGCTGCTTGGAAGGAGCCTATGTGTTAAACTCACCTGACTGGCAGCTCCCACTCAGAGATGAGCTCATCTCTATTCTTAGTGTGTTTGCTGAGCGAGCGTTGTTTACCCAGGGCGAGCGGAAGAGGCAGCCATGCGAAAGGCCCAGATGGAGCTGTCGCTGACGACACTGAGTGGCTCCCGTGCCCCATGGGGGAGGCGGCCTTGCTTCTCCACCTGCCCCCGCTGAGGGGGAGTGGGCACCACACCCAGGGCTCCCTCCCCGGCTGCTGCAGGAGGGGCCCCGGGCTGCTGTCGGCTGCTACCATTCCAGGAGGCTGCAGCCTGCTCATGCACAGGGTATCCCAGCATTTCTAACAGCGACCTGCTGTCACTGTGCTTGGCTCAGGCTCGGTGCCTCTCCGACACCCGGCGCTCTGCGGCATCTCCGGGCGGGCGGCTCGGCATCGCTGCCAGCTGTGTCCGCTCAGCAAGGATCTCGTGGTGAATGCAACGGGCCTGAACCTCTAATCACCTGCACCAGTGGGTGCTCCGTGGAACCACTCCTGATGAACACGGGGTGAGCAGGAGCTGAATCGGACTCTCGGGTCCCTCAAGGTGTCAGCCGGCTGCCTGCCGGGGTCAGGAAGGATCCCGCCCGCAATGCACTACGGGATGGCCATGGCTGGAGACGGGACACTGGGTGGGGTGGGCCAGGGCTCTGAGGGGGCACCAAGTAGTCCCTCCCCTAGTGTCACTGGCTGGTTGTTGTTCCCATGCCCAGGGTCTCTGGGGTTGGGAAGGAATTCCCCCCCTGCTCAGATTGGCAGTGATCTCGGGGTTTTTTGCCTTCCTCTGCAGCATGGGGTGCAGGTCCCTCGCCAGGATTATTTGAGGGTATCTCACAGCCGTTTCCCTGCCCTTACAGGGCACAGGTGCACCCTGGTAACTCCTAATCTCAGCCTGTGGCAGACCACAGTCTCGTGTCCTGTGGGCTGTGACACCTGGGTTGTTGGGTTAGTGTTCAGGTGCTGGGTGGGGTGGGTGGCCTGTGATACACAGGCTGTTGGACTGGTGGTCCCTTCTGGCCTAAAACTCCAGAACTCTATAACAGGGACTCTGCCCATTTGCTTTGGGCCTCGCCCAGAACTTTGGGCCCACCCCCCAGCCTTTCTCCTGCCAGCTTTCCTACGTCCTCTCATTCCCAAGTCCTTCCAAGGGAGCTCTGCCTCCCTGATCCACCTGGCAGCTCTCCACCCATAGAGCCCATTTGGCACACAGGGGCTGGGCTGTGAGTAACTCCCTCAGCTCTGCTCTGTCCTCCTCATGGGAACCAGCAGCCGGCAGTGACTCTCAAGGTGATGCTAACTGCTCTTGGTAGGGCAGGTTATCAGCTCACAGAAGTCAGAGATGGAAGAGGTAATGTCCACACATGGTATCAAGTCTCAGTGTCCCAGACGTGCCCCCAGCTAACCGATTACTCAATGAACGGCGATCTCAAATCAAACAGGCACAGTCAACAGAACAGTCATTCCCCATCCTGGATCACAATTCACACCATCATTGAGCTCTAAGCCCTGGTTCCAGATGCGGAAGTGCAGGAGCTCACTTCGATCTCCTTGTTTGAGCCCAGCACTTTCTCGCCACAGTATCCCCAGAGCAATGGGGAGGCGGGGAGCAAAGCCTGTCTCCAAGGAAGCTAAGAATGATCTTTATTTAGCCAGTCCTCTAGGGGCTTCGCTGTCACTATCTGTTTTACGGGAAAGGCACCCAGATATTATGGTGATGGGTGGAAGTATTCAACCCTAAGATAGATAAATAGATTGAAACCTACTGGAGCGTAGACAGGTACCAGTAGGAGAGCAGCTTCCACAGAACAGATGAGCAAGGACTTTATTTCCCACAAGATCTCCATTACACAAACCTACGTCAATTCCAGGCTTAACACTTCAATTGGAAGAAACGCAAACAGAGCAGTAACGTGACGTTGGGAGATACACAAATCCACGGTTCAGCCCAACAATCAATAACAGCTGGAAGTCAGCCAGTGTGCTCACTGCTCCCCCACGACGGAGCCACCATCATAGAGGGCAGAAACAGAGGGTCAGAGAAATCAGCACGGTTACTTGAAATACCAGAGACACCCCCGGTACCGACTGATCCTGGAGAAAAAGACAACTGGATCCCGCAAGGAACAACTCAAGGGAGGAGGGAATGCTGTGACAAGTGGGACTGTTCTTAATGTTTCCTCTGAATAGTGTGGGGGTGCCTCAGTTTCCCTAGGCAGTTCTTAAGTATCTAGGGGGTGGAGTAAGGGTGTATGATCATTGCAGAGCCCTAGAGGGCAGGTGTGTGAAGGGGTCTGGACACAGAGAATGGCCGACACCCTGTTTCCTGGCAACTGATGGCCTGGGCCCTTCCCCCCCTGCAAGGTGAGAGCTGAAGGGTTGGAGAACAAAGGAATCAGGTGACCTTCTGGCCCGGGAAAGGAACAAAGCCCAGAGGAGGAGGGGCTGGAGGGGTTTTCAGTTTGGGGCTGGCTGGGACATGGAGTGAAGTGCAGACGTGGTTGTCTGGCTCACTGCCCCCCCAGAATGGACCCAGCTGAGGGGTCCCGTTCTCTGCACCTGCAAGCTCTGTTTTAGACCATGTTCCTGTCGTCTAATAAACCTTCTGTTTTACTGGCTGGCTGAGAGTCACGTCTGACTGCGGAGTTGGGGTGCAGGACCCTCTGGCTTCCCCAGGAGCCCCGCCTGAGCGGACTCGCTGGGGGAAGCGCACGGAGGGGCAGAGGATGCTGAATGCTCCGAGGTCAGACCCAGGAAGGTGGAAGCTGTGTGAGCTGCGTGTCCTGAAGACAGGCTGCTCACAGAAAGGCGACTACCCCAGAGTCCTGACTGGCTTCATGGGGAGCAGTTCCAGAGCATCGCCCAGGGACTCCGTGACAACTGGTGATCATAGAGGGCAGAAACAGAGGGTCAGAGAAATCAGCACGGTTACTTGAAATACCAGAGACACCCCCGGTACCGACTGATCCTGGAGAAAAAGACAACTGGATCCCGCAAGGAACAACTCAAGGGAGGAGGGAATGCGCATCGGCATCAGCAGAATCATTGAGGACCCCAGGGTTACTAAGACCAGCTGCTGCATCTAGAGGGAGCCTGACATTGCAACATTGTTAGCCTCAAGGGACGCTCAACAGTAGTTGTGTCCAGAGAAATCCAGCTGGAGAGCCAGGCCTTTGAGAATGCCCGCTGCCAAACAGATGATGTCAGAGCAGCTCAGCAGTGGGGCTTTCCTCCAACCAACCCGCCTCCTGAGTGTTACCAAAGGTGACACATGGCATGGCCTTGCTCCAAATCAACTGAATAGCCTCCCGCCCACTCCCACACTGAGCGGGACTGAGGACTACTCTGCTTCCTCCTGATGCCAACAGGACTGGAATGAGCCCTGAGAATGGACCAGCAGGAATTCCACTTGGACAATCCACATCAGAGAGCCCGCGGTGTCCATGGGCAGGTGGGGAATGCGCCCAATGCACTCTGGGATGAGGGGAAACGCCCAGGTGGGCAGGTATCTTACCCACTATCATGCCAACCTCACACCGGTGATCTTCATAGTAACAGGAAATCATTGTAGCTACCGTGTCATTGACCATGGCGACCACGTCCATCTCGAAATCCTGCGGAGGAGCATACAAAAGAGAGGTCACGATCCCCCAGGCGTTCCAGAGAAGAGCCCAGACAAAAGGAAGCACGCACCCGGGTACAGAACAATTCCAGGGCAGGACCCTGCCGCTAGTAAGGGGCATGTGGAGTGCCCAGTCCACTGATCCAGACTGAGCAGCCAAGAACGCTTCTGCTGAGCGAGGATCTCTCCAGCCCACATTCCCACTGAGGATGTCCTTGAGGCTGAAGGAGCAGGAGGATTGCGACGTGCCCCCGGTGGAGCTGGTGAGCCCGGAGAAGCCCCAGTCTTACCCCACGAGGGCGCATCTGTGCGGAGACGCCGGGGGAACTAGCCAGCACGAACAGCACAAACCATATTTTCATCTCACCCCTCGGCGCTTGATAGCGTCCCGCAAAAGCCCCACAACGTTGTTTCCTTCAGCTCCTGATGCTTTGAAACCCTTCGTCCAGTTCAGAAGGATCCCCTGCGGGACAAGGGGACAAAAGGGTTAGATCAAAGTGCTACAAAGAGAGAAAGCAGAGAGCTAAGCAATCAGTTCTCTGATCTCAATGGATGCGGGGCGGTGCATTACTGCTCATGCATGTCCAGCTGGGCAGTCCCAGCTCCCACAATCAGAAAATCCTAGGACTGGAAGGGACTTCGAGAGATCGTCTAGTCCAGTCCCCTGCACTCATGGCAGGACTAAGTATTATCTAGACCATCCCTGACAGGTGTTTGTCTAACCTGCTCTTAAAAATCCCCAGTGATGGAGATTCCACAACCTCCCTGGGCAATTTATTCCAGTGCTTAACTACCCTGACAGTTAGGAAGTTTTTCCTAATGTCCAGCCTAAACTGCCCTTGCTGCAATTTAAGCCCATTGCTCATTGTCTTGTCCTCAGAGATTAAAGAGAACAATTTTTTTCCCTTTTCCTTGTACCAACCTTTTATGTACTTGAAAACTGTTATCATATCCCCTCTCAGTCTTCTCTTTTCCAGACTAAACAAACCCAATTTTTCCAATCTTCCCTTACAGGTCCTGTTTTCTAGACCTTTCATCATTTTTGTTGCTCTTCTCTGGACTTTCTCCAATTTGTCCCCATCTTTCCTGGAATGTGGCGCCCAGCACTGGACACAATGCTCTATCTGAGGCCTTATCAGCACGGACTGAGCTTTGGAGTCTGAAGTGTGAGATCTAGTGTAAGTGTGCAAGGGAGCACATGGGTGTACAGAGGAAGCAACGAGTGTGAACGTGATGGGGGATCAGTCGTTGCTCACCTCCAAATAAAGACGCCAGCCCCTATGAAGAAAGGCCAAAGGTATTTAGGTACCTAACTCCCATTGAAATCAATGGAACTTAAATACCTTTGAGGACCTGGGCCTGAGTGTTTAAGGGATCTGCTGTGTACAGATGGGGGCTCACGCTCACACTGTGAACCACTTCCCTGGGGATGCGGGATGCAGCTCCGTGGCTCAGCATGGGAAGGGGCAGTGAAGATCAGGCATGGCTCCTCCAGTCTGCCCACAGTCGCACTCCCTCACTATTCTTTGCAGCCTCTCTCACCCTTCACCTCTGATCTGCCCGCAGGAGTCACCCTGCCTTGGCCTCACCTTGTCAATATCCTCATGCCTCACGGGGAAGGAGAATGTGAAGCCCAGAGGCAGCTTTTTGTGTTTCATCTGGTGTTTATCCAGGAAGTCGGAGATGCACTCGGAGATGTAATCGAAGAGCTGGAAAAGGGAGGCCCCAAGTCATTCCAAAATCACGACAACAGCATTGCTGGGCATTTCCCATCAGCCCTCCAACCACCAACCTCCTCCTGCCTTTGAGACACTGACACCTCCTCTATGGGACAGCTGGCTCCACGCTCCCTGTTGCTCCATGCTGCCCAGTTCTCTAGCCTCTACACAGGCCCATTGATTGACTTTCTGTTGCATGTTGCCTCAGTAACAAAGACTGTCAGTGATTATTACCCGGAAAACCACACGCACTACATAAAGATTTCTACGGCGCACACGGTATAGACAGGCAGATGTCTGCAGTCGCAGCATTGCCCGCCAGATGGCACCCAGCCCTCTGGTATAATGTAGCAGCCATTGCGATGGCATTTCCTAATTCCAGCTTTGGAGATCGGCAAAATCTGTGCTCAAGGGTAGCTCTTGCCTGTCTCGGAGCTGCCAAGAGCACGCGGGCTAGCACCGCTGGCCATGGCTTCCAGCCACGCCTCTTCGGCTGAGTTGATGTGTGCAGCTGCCCAGTCCTAGCTGGAGGTACAGAGGAAATGAATACTGGTAGAGGAGGCTGGGATTGGGCAGAGCCTGGTGTGTGTGAACATGTGTATGTGAGAGCAGATGACTTTATCTCTGCCCCAAATCCAGTTGTCTGTACCCTACTGGCCTTCCTCTGACATGCAGATTCGTTGAAGGAATTACTCTTAGATAGAGCTGGGTGAAATTTTCCTCGTCAAAACTTTTTTGGGGTGGGGGAGAAAAATTCTGACATGACTTTGGTGTGTCTGTGCCAGGCAAGTGGTTAGATGATGTAGCTGCCATGTCATGGGTGGAATGTATTGTTACACAGAGAAGCTGAAGTCTTCGGGAACAATACCGAGATCTGTGACTGGTGAGTGCTGGAATTTGAGTAGAGGGATGGTATAATTCTGTGTTTTGATTTGAAAATTTTATTAGTTCAGTCCTCCCCTTCACATATTTAAGTATTTTGTGTCCCTAGTAATGGCTATTTTAACGCAGCCAGTAAAATTAATTATCCACACAATTATTGTACCTCTCTGATCATGAAATATTAATCAGCTGGATGGGAGGGGGCAGATAAAAGGGTTAAACTGGGCCTCCAAAATAAAAGATTCCTAATTTCCAGATGTGTCAAAATCTACAAACTCAGAGGCAGCAGCTTTTGCTCCTAAAGACCCATACGTGAGAACAGGACTTTTGCACCTCCGTTTTATTCTTATCACAAAGACGCTTTAGCAAAAATCAAAACAAAAATCCTATCTGTTTTATGGCTTGGATGAAGCTAAAACTTTTTTGACCCAGCTGTCTAATCAAGCTGCCACTGAGGTTACACCTAAAAACGGACTATCAAACACACAGGTACCCCAATCTGAGGACCTTAGAATGTATTGCCTGTCATAGCTGCCATTTGAATAATTACATAGTAACAGAGCTGGTCGGAAAATGAGAAATTTCAAGTTTTTTGGCAAAAAATCATTTCAATTTGGTAATGGCTGCAGCAGTGCCTCATGGGAGTTGTAGTTCAGGTCCCTAATATTCCCATTCTCCTCCACAGGCCGGGCTCCCCAGTCATACTACATCTCTCATGATGCACCACAGCCTCCCTTCTTAGTGCAGGGAGGTGGTTCACTGTGGCCCTGGCCTGGCCGTGGTGCATCATGGGAGATGAAGTCCTGCCATAGAAGAAAATGAGAGCATTAGACATGCAAACTACAACTCCCATGAAGCACGCCAGCAGCATTTCACAACTGAAATGTTTCCATTTTTGAACATTCTTGTTTTGAACCCCCCCCACAAAAAAAAAAAAAAACAACCCAAACCCACACACCCATATTTTATGTGGGAAGCAAGAAACCCTTTTTGTTTTGCCTAAAACCCAATTTTCCATCGAAAAACAGTCTCAACAGAAAATTTTTGTCCAGCCCTACAAATTATACCAGAAAAAATCAATATGAATCTGCCAGGCTACCCATATTCTGTCTAGCCTTAAATCCTAAAGTCACTGGGGTCTTTTGATCTCTTCAAGACCCTACCTCAGTCTTTGTATGGCTAATGTTAGCTAAACCTGGTCTGTCCTCAGAGGCTTGTCTCTTTAGTTTTCATGAAGGATAAACAATTAAAAATCAACTAGGACAAGTTCTCCAAACTTTGTGACACAAAGAGAACTCGTGCTGAGGTGCAGGAGTATAAAGGTTGTATTGGCTTTCCTTTAGTGTGGGCTGTATAACGGACTTATGGCTTCACACAGGCTCCCTAAAGGATGGCCAATTACCGTGTACCCTTGCCTCACCACTGCAGCTGGGCAAAATTTTCAGAAGAACAGCTGATTACCAAAAAATGCAGTTTTAGGCCAACTGAAACTCTTCAAAAATTCAGGCCAAATTTGGCAAAGAGTTTTGGCACAAAAATGAAAACAAAACAAAACAAAACAAAACATTCAGTAAAGTCAAACCATTTTGTTTTGACCTTTTGGAATGAAACATTTCCACTTTTCCTTTCTAAACAAAGTTTCTTTTAAAACTTAGTTAGATTTCAAAAAAGGATAAGAAGACTTGAAAACAAAATGACACAAAAAATGAAATAATAAAAAAACTGTTTTGGCGTGAACGAAATATTTTGCTGGATGTAAAATTAAATTTTTGGAGGCTTTTCAGTGAGAAAAACTGAAAATTTTCTGTTTCGGGTCAATTTCCCCCCAAGATTTTTCAGTTTAGCCACCAAACCAAAAAAATCATTTGTTCAGCGATATTTACCACACTAAGCACAGAATATTGGAAGCCCTGCTACAGCGACTTCCCGCATGGTTCCTTTCTGGTAAAGTAAGGATATATCCATGTTTTACTCTGTACATTACTCCTAATATCCCATAAAGAAAGTGGACCCTCCCCCATCCTTTCTGCCCCTCTGAAGGAGACCTTCCATGGCCTGTTGGAGTTGGATAGATCTAGAAAATCAAACAGACAACTTAGCTTTTTCTTCAGCACCTTTAGTATTTCTCCAGTCCAGTTGCCTTTTCATTTCCCACCCCAGCTGTCACCTGCCCATCTTCGGATTGGAGAGTTTGTCTAGGGGACGCCTGCCAGCACCTTGTTTTCACGGCTCTTTTGGCCAAGCACTCGCTCACCATTTCGGCTGTTCCCGTCATGGCGTCCTCTGGGATGGAATACATCTGATGCTTTGTCGTCACGCTCCACTGCCCTTCTTCCCCTTCACCCACTTTCACCAGCATCACACGGAAGTTGGTGCCGCCGAGATCCAACGACAGGAAGTCTCCGACCTCTGCAATGTCAGGATGAAGCTTAACAGTTCAAGAGTTACTTAGCTGTTGTCTTGTGTTTGTACTATGCCTAGCGCAATGGGCCCTGGCCCATGACTGGGTTCCTAGACGCTACGAAAATTAACAGTAGAATTCAGGGTTGAAAAATTCCCCCCAAAACTTTTTTTCTGTTGGAAAATTGGGGATTTGATTCAATGGACATTTTCATGGAAAGTATCTGTTTTTTGGGGGGGGAATGTTTTTGTTTTTTCCATCAAAAGGACAGAAAATTTTCAGTCCAAAACCCAAACTGTTCCCTCCCCTTCCTGTGGAAAATTTCTACTTTTTGTCAAAAACCAAAACCTGAAAAACCATGGCTAAAAATCAAAAATATTTCTGTCAAAAACGGTTTGTTTTTTCACTGAAATTTTAGGGGGTTTTGACCAAACATTTTCTGGGTTTTGGCCTCAAATGTTTGTTTTTTCAACAAAAGGTCAACTTTTTTCATGGAGAAAAAAATCCCATTTTCCGACCAGCTCTATTCCTGACTTGTCACGTTCACCGCCTGGACCCCTGCAAAGGAAGGCAGTTAATAACTTGGAAGACTTGCTTAGAAAGCAAATGGAGAAAGACCTGTCTTTTCCCTTCTGCTTGTCCCTCCATTTTACAGACACGTTGGTTTCTCTCTTATGCGTCCAAATGACTCGAACATGGCTGGGTTCTGTTTGGCAATTTCAGTTTCCGGCCAGCCTCTTTGATCGGAAGCCCAGCACACCAGGTGAGCCAGCACCATCCCTGATGTCAACACAGTTCCTGCCACGGGGTTTGTCACTTATCTCTTGCTACTGCTGGAGGGAGGTGGGGGGAATTCAGGAGATTGCGTAAAGATCCACAAAACGCCTCTTTGGGGGCCAGCATAACGACAAACCTGCCTTCCACTGATTGAATGAGGCTCGTGCCACAGAGTCAGCGCTCGCCTCTCCCAAACAAGCCCTGGCCTCTGTGCTAGCCAGCAGAGTTTGCAAAAGATCAGGCAACTGCCATGCTCCCCTCTGATCTAGAAGATAACAAGGAGTGGAGACAGGTGCCCTGAAATCACCTAATCCTGGAAGGTGCTGGGCACCTCTTGAGAAAGGCAGAACCTCCTCATCTCCCACAGACTTCACTGGCACTGGAGGGCCCTCTCAGCAGACGGTGGCAGGACTGAGGTTCAACAGGCTGTTCAGCCCTCTCTAGCCCTTCTTCTAGTGGGTCTTTAATGGATTCCAAGGCCAGCGCGCTTAGAATCATAGACGATTAGGGTTGGAAGGGACCCCAGGAGGTCATCTAGTCCAACCCCCTGCTCAGAGCAGGACCAACCCCAACTAAATCATCCCACCCAAGGCTTTGTCAAGCCTGACCTTAAAAACCTCTAAGGATAGATTTCAGAGTAGCAGCCGTGTTAGCCTGTATCCGCAAAAAGAAAAAGAGTACTTGTGGTACCTTAGAGACTAACAAATTTATTTGAGCATGAGCATACGATGAAGTGAGCTGTAGCTCACAAAAGCTTATGCTCAAATAAATTTGTTAGCCTCTAAGGTGCCACAAGTCCTCCTTTTCTTTCTAAGGATAGAGATTCCACCACCTCCCTAGGTAACCCAATCCAGTGCTTCACCACCCTCCTAGTGAAATAGTGTTTCCTAATATCCAACCTAGACCTCCCCCACTGCAACTTGAGACCATTGCTCCTTGTTCTGTCATCTGCCACAACTGATTGATCCCTCCCCCAACCTGCGAGCAGCACGCCCTCGGTGGAGAGTAGCGGAGGGATGGTGATCAAATTCTTACCCCAGGCTGGGTGGGTCCCTGTCTCCGTGTACCCATGGGACCAGTGAGAGGTGTAGGGGTGGGAAATTCTGCACTCTCATTTCCCCATGGGCGTCCACACCCTGTAGGATAATGTGTTACCTGAGCCTTCGGGTGTGGAGCGCACGTAAGTGGGCAGCATTTTCACAGAGGCTTCCTCATGTGTATCCAGCTTCAACCCCCGATCCATTTCCTTCTGCATCCGACGCATCACCTTCTTCAGATCCTCCTCTTGCAGCCGGAACTCAGACAGGATCTGCTCTACCTACGGCAGCAGAGGTGCAGGTAAGCGGGGAGGGACCCAGGCGAGTTTGTGCCCGGGAAGGACGAGGAGCAGGGGATCTAACGCCCAAGACCTCATTCACTTACACCTAGCCTGTGCAGAAAGGACAGGCTTGGTGCATCAGGGACCCTTGTGCAGGGAGCTCGTCAGAGGCAGTGCATAATCCAAGAGGTCTTCTGGCCGCCCAGGAGAAAGGGAAAGCCTAGAACGCAGCATGGGCATCCAAAGTGATCAGAGTAGAGATCAAGAAACTAACCAGATAACAGCTCAACCCAGCCACTCCTGCCTGGGTGTGATTTGGGGTAGTGTGACAGAGCAGCCATGGGAGAAGGAGGTGGGTAGTTATGAGTTTCACACTGTCCAAGCTTTAGGTTCGTGTGCTGTCAACTGCAGTAATAATAAGGTTTTCAGGGCCTCAGTTAAATTATTTGTTAATGTTTAATTAAAATCCCCTTAACTAAGTTTCTTTTGACCTCATAGCTTTTTGATTAGAGAAAATCAACTCAATGTGGTTTTATGGCTTTTATTTAAGAGCCTAAATGACTATAAGGCTAATTAGTTAATTATACTTCCCTAAAGTGCTAAACAATATGACAATCAGACTGAGGTTAGAACGTAAATCAGATTAATCAATCAAAGAGTTAACAATAGTACAAATTTAAATTGGTTAACTAACAATAAAAACAAATTGAGACCAACAGTGGATTCAAATCATTGCATGAGCCCAGTTAATCATTAAATTACAAAACTATATCATACCAGTAATTGAATGGCTGACGTTTTCAATCTGTATCCTTTCCCTTGTGGAAAGGATGGGCTAAAACTGGAATTTTTACAAACCCAAAATGGCCTTCAGTGATCTGTGATAAGATTTGCAGTAACCTAGGTTAATTTCGTACTATGGGCTCTCACACACGCACACGACAAGCCTCTCCTCGCAGGCGTTCCTGCACAGGTATCAGGAATTCTGTGAAGGAAACAAAAGGAGGAAAAGTCACTGGGGAAAAGAAAAAGGATCTGCTCTTTGTCTTGCTTGATCTGTTGAGCTTCCGAGAGCCAATGAAGAACTGCAGTGTAGGGAAGCAGGCAATGTCTTCTGGCTCAGGTACCATCACGTGAGCGGGTATCAACCTCTGGTCAACTGGCTGGTTTGTGGTGTCTTGGGCTTCACTGCCCATGGGACCAGCCCAGGGAAAACAGGAGTGTCAGCCGTTTGGTTGTTGTTACGGGGATCTGGAGAGGAGCGCACTTCTTCCTTGCTTACCTGGTCTTTTAAGGTTGAGATTCAAGCTGGTCACATCCGATAGGACCTCCCCAGAGATCTTCTGGGCAAATCAGGTGATCACAGGTTTTGCACCTCAACTGCATTGTCCAGTCCTGATCAAGTGAGGCCAGGCTGACCTTTCGTCCATTCTTGGGGGCCCTCCTTCCTAGGGGACTGCTTCTGTGTCCCATCCACAAGTCCACATGTTTATCCCAAGCAAGTGATAAGGAAATAACAGGAGCTGACGCCTCCACCAAACTGTCTCAAGCCCCGTTGAGTCAACAATCCAGGCTCCTCAATGGCTTCTTGACCATTAGGGTCTGGCCACTTTCCTGGTCATAACTCATAATCCATTATTCTTCACTAGATCACACATCTCATGCTTATGCTTTCTCAAGGCCCAGGAGACCTCACGACCACAGTAAGAAGTTACAAAACTGTCATCTGTCTGGGCAACTTCGTATTTCCCCCTACCAAAGCTAAGTTGCTTCAAAAGCGACTTTTAAACCCCATTACCTTAAACTTATTACAAATACAGCCAATTAAAGTTTATGCTTAATGTCTGCTTTGCTATAGCCCGCCAGGCTGGACATTGTAATTCCGCCGCCTTAAAACACCCTGTTTACTTCCCAGCATATGATGTAGCATATGTTAACATCCACCCTTGCCAACAGCGCAGAACTGCAGCCACTGGTCTGATCTGTCTTTTGTAATGTTGGAATTGGCACCAGTCTCTCCGGCTGAAATGTATTTCCTAGAGGTCCTGTCCCAAAGTAAGCAACAGTGATCTTAGACAAAGAGGACCCCAGATCTTCTGGCTTGTCCTCAGAGTACGGTCACTGAGCTGTAAGGACCATCACCACTGACCTTGACTTGCTGTTTGCACAGAAAACAATGATGTGTCAGAGTTTAGTCAGCAATCTGCTGCCAGTCACTCCACACAGGCTTCAACCAACTGTGTATCTGTTCCCTGCACCCACGCCTCCGCTGTGGGGCAGCAGCCGGAGCAGACGTCACCTCTCACTCCCACTCGGAGCACGGCTCTCTGCCGCTCAACCTCTCTTTCCCTTCCAGGGTGTCCTGCTCTCCTTGGGAATAAAATCCCCCAAGTGATGGAATGAGTCCCTCTCCTCCCCCAGGGACAGCTTCACAGGTTCTGTGAGGAGACTCATGCCGCAGTGGAGGTTTCAAAATGACCTAGGCAGACAGTGCAGGGGAGGCGTGACTGACAGGAAGGAGAAGGAGGACAGGGCATAGGGCAGGGGGTGAGGGATGTCAGAACCCCGAGGCAACAGCTGCTGTAGGCCATCAGTATTTCGTGAGGGACAATCTGGTAAGTGAAAAAGATATGGGGCCTGATTTTGTGCCGGGATCACTCCCCTGCTTTCAGTGAAGTTACTCCGGATTTGCACTCGCCAGTGAGAGCAGAATCAGGTCCATTTGATGTTGTAGAGTCGTCTCATGATTTGGAGAGGGGATGGGAGGGGATTTTAAACTCATCTGCAGTTTCCTTAACCCGCCATGTCCCACTTTCTCTTTGTTTGATGTCACTTTGAATTTCCTGGTGTCTGGGTTATTAATTTATAAATTCCTTTTAATGGTTTCTTTTCCGTCTGGAATGATGGCTACGTATTTCCAATCTCAATTCCATCCTAACCATTTTGTTTGTTCCTGGACACACGTACAAACAATGGCACATGCTCATCTGCATCCTGCTATATTTACCGTAGATCAAATATGCTTCGATGAAATGAAAATGGACTGTAAAGCAAATCAATCAGACAGTAGGTCCAGTGGGTTCTGAGGCTATTTTAATGGGTAGAACACAGCCATAAATACTGTGAGGGAACCACATACGCCCAGTGAGGGCCAGATACACACCGTGGAATAGAGAACACTGTGTACACCCTCCTAGAGCTCAGAGGACAGTTCCCAGTTCCGATGCACTATGAAAACATCACCACAGCGGGACGATCACCATTGCTTCCCAAAGGGAAACGGCTGGAGCGTAACCCTTGGGGCATTTAAACCGAGCCTGAAGAAAACATTATACAAGTCCCCTAGAGAAGGACTTTGTACTGGTCCCCCAGGGCGGTACGGGATGGGACCTTGGGCGCTCTTCCACATCTAATCTAAATGGAGCGGTTCTTTCGTAACTTGAGGGACCGCCAGCGGTCTGCAGGGAGGCCAGCGCCCCATATTTCGTGCTATATTTAGGACAGGCTCATGCCAGTTCCTAAATATAGAAGCCTTGCATCACCCTCGTGTTTGCAATGCCCTGCCGTTTGGTAGCCTCCCTACCTCGCCCGCTCCCAAGAGTTCACGCAAAGAACCCCTCCTCCCCACCTTCTACTGTGCGTAGTGAATGGCTCGCGAACTCCTGGGTCTGGCGTTTGCACTGAGCGGGCCCCACCGAGGACACTCCAGAGCCTCAAGAGGGGCGAGAAGTGGGGAACTTAACCCCAGTGGCCAGGCAGGGCCATTACCCCTTGCTGCACCCTCTGCAGGAAGGAGAAGACACAGGATGAGATTCAGATCCCATTTCTGGAAGGAGCATGCCACAGCATCCCAGTGCTCTGATCTGTCAGCCAGAACCCCACAGATCCCTCATTACACACTACCCCCGATCCTCTGTCTGTGGCAGGCCCTGGGGTAATCCCCATTTCCCTGAGCCAGCGGCTCCCCCATGGGTTCATCTGTGATTATAGGACATGGCCCCCTCTTTTCTCCCTCTCCCCAACTTTCTCCTCTTAGGTGGCCCCATGACACCATCCTCTTCTCCCCATCCCACCTGCCCCTTCCCCTTTGGGTCTCGACTACCAGACACTCTCCCCACTCCTCCCTGTTCTACTGTTTCACTGCTTCTTTCAAGTCACTTAGATCTAGCCTGGCTCTTCAGCTCAAGCTGTAGAGATCATCCCGCTTTGAGCTCTGGAGGTTCCCGGTGTTGGCCCACACAGTGGTCTGCCAACTATGTCTGGCTAAGACTAATAATCACCAGTACCCCAAACCTCTGCTGATGACCACTTTCTGCTCTGAGTGCCAGGTGGACCCCTCCACCCTGCCCTCTCTGATATAAACACAGAGTTGGGGATGAGGGCAGGAGGAGAAGCTGGATAGGACAGAAAAGGTTTGGCATTTATTTCCCCTGTGGGTTAATTTTGGCTTTTTAATTTCATGCATCTATTATGATGATAGGTTGGCACCCCAGTCACAGACCAGGTCCCCGTTGTGCCAGGCGCTGTACAAACACAGAGCAAAAAGATGGTCCCCGCCCCAGAGAACACACTATCTAAGGGTCAGACAAGAGGCAACAGATAGATGCCAACAGACCAATGCGGGAGTACAAGGAAACAATGAGACGCTGGCCAGCCTGACAGAAGTGACAGAAGCACCCCAGCGGCCAAATTGTTGTCAAGTTTTTGCAGGGTACGTGACAAAGGAGAATGTTAAGGAGAGATTTGGAGGAGAGTGTTTACGGGCAGCTCCTCCCAAACACAAGGGGCAGCATGGGAGAGAGCATGAACATGCTTCCTTTGCCTTCACTGCTCTGTGCCTCAGTTTCCAAAACCTCAACTGGAACACAGGGGAAACTGGTCTTTTTTCCCCCCACCCCCTGTTCACATCACTCAAAAGTGTCTGATCTGATTTTGCTCAAACTTTCCAGGAGCATTCCTTCCTCTTTGGGCTGAGTCTGGGAGGTATTACTGCCGAAGCA